CCATCCATCCATCCATCCATCCATTCTAATCCAATCGATCCATCCATCCATCCATCCATTCTAATCCAATCGATCGATCCATCCATCGATCCATCCATCGATCCATCCATCGATCCATCCATCCATCCATCCATCCATCCATCCATCCATCCATCCTAATCCATCCCTCCATCCCTCCATCCATTAATTAAATTAATTAATTAGTGGGTTAGGGGCAGCAGTTCGAGCAGGGAGGTCCAGACATCTCTTTCCACTGTCACCTCTTCCAGCTCTTCTGGGAGGACTCCATGGTGTTCTCAGGTCAGTCATGAGATTTCTTCTTTCCAGTGTGTCCTGTGTCCTCCCTGGGGTCTCCTCCCTGTTGGACATGTCCAGAAAACCTCTCCAGGGAAATATCCAGGGAGCATCATTACCAGATGCCTGAACCACCTCAACTGGCTCCTCGTGATGTGGAGGAGCAGCAGCCCTACTCCAAGTCTCTCCTGGATAACTGAAGTCACCGGATCTCTACGGGAGAGTCCAGAGACCCTGTGGAGGAAACTCATTTTGATGGCCTATATACTAGATCTTGTTTTTTCAGTCACTTACGCAAAGTTCCTGACCACAGGTGAGGGTAGGAATGTAGACCGACCAGTAAACAGTGAGCTCAGCTCCCTTCAGCTGTATTATTTGTAATTATTAGGACAAGATGTCAACCATATTTAAAAATTTAACCTCTTTTTGCTGAAAATTTTTAACAGAGGTGCAAATCTAACCTCTTTAAGGCATGGTGTAACCTAAAGTTATGTGATTTTATAAATACAGCCGTTGTAAATTGCAGCCTTTATATTATTTTTACAGATTTCAACAAATGACTGAAACTGTGCCTTTAGTCAAGGGTGTACCTGAATGCACCACAAAGAAAGATAATTTTTAATAATTCGTCAAAATTAAAATATTATTAAATTGAAAGCCATGTGTTTGTTGAAGGAATGCATATCACCCGCAACTTTCACGCACAGGTTTAAAACGAAAATCATTTTATGTTGAGAAATGACAGAGTAGAAGATGTTTTGGTCAAACCTTGAAAATAACATTAGGAGTGATCTATCACAATACAGAAGGATCTGTGAGCACTCAAACTATGTGTCGTAAATGACTCTCAGCTACTACCACATCAAAGTTGATCTCATTATTTGCAAAATGAACAGTCGTAGCCATTTTTGTGCTTGTTAAGGCCGATTAGCTGAGGAGGACTCCAAAAGTCAACGAGTTATAGATTCACAGCTAATGATTACTTTCTGAGAGTTCTGCAGTGGTACATAAGATATTTTGCTGACAGATAAACGGAGACAGGCGATCATCAATAGAGCAAATCCTCTGCAGCTCAAAAATTAAGCAAATTAAAACTTATGTAATGTAAACTTAATGTACTGGCACCTTGCAGTGAATAAACCTTTTATATATTTAGGAAGGAGCACTTTGAATTCAGTCATATTGCATTCAGTATAAAGGAAAAAATGCAGCAAATTATAAAAACATCTGTAATCCTTCTATTTATAAATTATAAAACAACAGATCTTTAAATGACAAAAAGATAAACAGAAGACAGAGGAAGAACAAAACTGGAGACATGTTAAATATTTTAAACTTGTGGAAAACCGAAGATACTTGCTCTCCTGAATTTGTTGAAGTAAGGTTATATATCTTTAAAAATTAGATTAAACCTGCCAGATGTGTTATTTTTAGCCCCCAAAGATGAAAAATTGCTGCCTTACCCTTGGCCCGATGTCTCCTTGGTCACCCTGAGAGAAAAATAACAGGAAAATAACAATTGTCAGCAATTGTCAGCAAAGCAAATCTACACAGGAGCAACAGATACTGAGGAGCAGCTGTGACAAAAGGGCTTGCAAAAAATAAATAAAGTTTATAGGAAGGAACTCAAGGGTCATCTGTCCAAACCACCACAGGATGTAGACATTAAGTCATTAGATAAGCCATAAATCTGACAGGATGAGCTCAGCCCAGTAAAAGTGGTGCTGACTGGGTTTTGATGAGGATTTAGAGGTTGTGTTCCAATAACAGGGAGGTATTTAAATAAAAATAACATCATATCATCATGTTAGCCATGCTAATCAGAGCAAACCCTGCTCTGACAGATTTTTACTGTGGCGGGGTTGGGCTTTGGCTAATCTGAGGGATTCTCGCCTGTGGGCAAAAAGCTGTGGCACACATTCACACAAAAACAAAGTTGCCCGTAATGTGTGGGCACCAGTGACCACATGGCTTCCTCTGCCGGCACTTAGAGTCTCTAACGTCTTTAGCTGGGCAGAGGTTCATGGAGCAGGAAAAACATCTGGATATAATTGAGCATCACGAAGGGAAGGTCTGCAAACCTGCTTAGTACCCCCTGACAGGAGGAAGTGCTCCTACATATTCTGCTCATTTGATGGATACAAAATGTGAACACCCAGGGTGATGATGCGTGCCTCTGAAGGTGCATGGGAGTAAATTAAGATGAGCAATACAGCCGGACACTGCACGGACATGTCAAAATTTATATTAAAGCCTACCTTCTCTCCCTTGGGTCCAGGCAGTCCCTGCAGAACGGAGGAGATAATCAGAGACAGTCAGTGGCAATAAATCAGTTAATTTATGGCTAACAGCGCAATGCATCTTCCACTTGGTGCAAGCAGCAGACGTTCAATCAACCATTGAGGCAGAGCCATTACATCTCTTAGAGCAGCAGAAGTGTCACGAAGACCGCTTAATCCCAGTTCAAGGAGATCATGTGATGCATGTGTGAGAGATAAGAAACGTCCGGAGAGAAGACAAAGCTGAAAAGAAAAGACGTTCCTTTGTTTCACCGTCCAAAGCACTTTAAAGACGCTTTAGTGTTTGGGTTTCGTTGTGTCTGGAACGGTACAAACTGAGAACACGAGGCGTCCGTGTAAGGGACACAGAGTCCCACTTTGTGTTTTTTGACATGATTTATGAACACTGGCCAAACAGATGAGAGGCGTTTGTCTGTGTGGCGAAGTTGTTCGTTTAATCCTGTCTGTCTATCTCTCACAAGAGGCACAAAGTTGCCAAACATGGCAACAACCCAAACCACAAACGGATCACTAGTCCTGTATGACTGTGCCTGGGAGATGCAAAAATATAACATCCATCTCTGGGCACAGCACATAAAAGTTGTTTTTTAGTTCGACTCTTTTTTGTTTTTCAGCCACTAACTAATAGTGCATTGCTGACAGTAGAAATGTGGTTAAAACTTTAAAAAGACCAGCCCATTTGAAGACTTTTGGACAATTTCTACAATCATCATGAATTTATCTGAAAGAAATCTCTAAAAAAGATTCATGGGTTTAAGGTTCAGGGTGAAAAGAGCTGGAAATTTTATGAGAAAAACATTTTCTTCTACCTGTCACAGCACCCCTATGGGGCAACTCAACACCAATATTTACATTGAACAAAAATAGAAATGCAACACGTTTGTTTTTGCTCCCATCTTTCATGAACTGGACTCAAAGATCTAACACGTCTTCTATGAACACAAAAGATATTTTTCTCTCAAATATAGTTCACAAATTTGTGTGAATCTGTTTTTGAGCACTTCTTCTTTGCCGAGATAATCCATCCACTTCACAGGTGTGGCATATCAAGATGCTGATTAGACAACATGATTATAGCACAGGTGTGTCTTAGGCTGACCACAATAAAAGGCCACTCTAAAACGTGCAGTTAGATCACAGCACAATGCCACAGATGTCACAAGTTTTGAGGGAATGCGTATTTGGCATACTTACTGCAGGAATGTCTACCAGAGCTATTGCCCATGACCTGAATGTTCATTTATCTACCATAAGCCATCTCCAAATGTATTTCAGAGGATTTGGTATTCAACCAGCTTCACAACCGCAGACCACGTGTAACAACGTGGAGGTCATAAAACCAGTCAGTATCTGGTGTGAGCGCCATTTCCCTCCTGCAGTTCAACACATCTTATTCCCATAAAGTTGATCAGGTTGTTTATTGTGGCCTGTGGAATGGTGGTCCACTCCTCTTCAATGGCTGTGGGAAGTTGCTGGATATTGTCAGAAACTGGAACACACTATTGCATACCCCGATCCAGAGCATCCCAAACATGTTCAATGGGTGACAATGTCTGGTAACTATGCTGGCCATGCAAGAATTGGGATGTTTTCAGCTTCCAAAAATTGTGTGCAGATCCTTGCAACATGGGGCCGTGCATTATCATACTGCAACTTGAGGTGATGGTCGTGGATAAGTGGCACAACAACGGGCCGCAGGATCTCATCACAGTATCTCTGTGCATTCAAAATGCTATCAATAAAATGCACCCGTGTTTATTATCCATAACATACACCTGCCCATACCATAACCCTACCGCTACCATGGGCCACTCGATTCACAATGCGGACTTCAGCAAACTGCTCACCTACACAATGTAATGGCCACTGTCCATCATCTGCCCTTTACAGTGAAAAATGGTATTCATCTGTGAAGAGAACACCTCTCCAATGTGCCATATGCCATCAAATGTGAGCATTTGCCCACTCAAGTTGGTTACATGACAAACTGCAGTCAGGTGGAAATCCCGATGACAAAGACAAGCGTACAGATGAGTTTCCCTCAGACAATTTCTGACAGTTTGTGCAGAAATTATTTGGTTATGCAAAACAAATGTTGTAGCAGCTGTCTGGATGGCTGGTCTCAGATGATCCTGGAGGTGAAGATGCTGGAAGTACTGCCAAATTCTCTGAACGGCGTAAAGAAATGAAACAGTGACAAGAGCTCAGGTGGACATTCATGCAGTCAGCATGCCAAGTGCACACTCCTTCAAAACTTATGACATCTGTGGCATTGTGCTGTAATAAAACTTATCTCAGCAAAGGAGAAGTGCTCACTAACACCGATTTACACAAACTTGTGAACAATATGTGAAAGGAAAAGGTCTTTTGTGAAGGAAAAGTCTTGGATCTTTGAGTTCAGCTCATAAAAAATAGGAGCAAAAACAAAAGTGTTGCATTTAAATTTTTGTTCAATGTAAATATTGGTGTTGAGTTACCAAAAAATCTTCAAATGAACTGGTCCTTTAAAATTTTCAACTATGATCTAAGCCCCTAACTTTGCAAACTTACAGATTTTGCACCTGAAGCTTCCCAAAATTTCCATCTCCAGTAGAAAACAATAGCAAGATTTTCCTTAACAAACCAATCATTACTGTTTTTAACTTATCCCTATGATAATGATCCTTCTAACAGAAATAGAGAATTGTTGCAATACTGTGATTCAAAATCACAGTTTTTCCTGAAAATAGCAACAAATCTAAACAGCAGCTTTACTAAGAGCCAGTTCTGTTCTGCAAATAGCGAGAGATGCCCGACCATAATTTCTCTCGTATTTGCTGATAATCAATCGCCTTGTTTTTACCCTTTCCTCCCTCTCCTTGTACTTCACTTGCATCTTCCCTGTACTTGCTTTTGTTTCTGAACACAAATCTACGCTCTATCTTTAAACCTGCTCTAAAGTTAGACCTCCATTCACTGTTATCTTTTTGTGCCAGCTATTTTGTTTGGACAGGAGCCACAGAGTAATACTGGCAAAGAGGTGAAAATTTTCAGCCATTTGTTAGTGACCAGCAGACAGCAGCTTCAGACTGAAAGTAGACATAGCACAGCCTGATAGTTTGAAACTAGTTTTACACGATATAAATGGAAGTTTCCATAGCATGACAGATATAAAGTGTTGTTGGTTGATGGCCATTTGACGAATCAGTCATATCTTTATCCCCACTTATCGGCTCATAAACCCTCGTCATGAGGTCTGAGCACCTGCTGGGGTTTTCAGCGCTGGAGAGCCCTATTAAAGGACACATTCAGCTTCAACTCCGAGTTAAACAGTTTAACGATGTTTAGAAAAGTATTCAAAGAGCTCTAATTACGCTGTGAGGGTTTCATATTTCAATGGATGTCTTATACCTCTCATTTATAAGGCTCATTTATTTATTCAGGACAGCTCAATATAATTCAAATAAAATGTCCAAACAACGATAAAGAAAATAAAACTTAAGCAAAGTCTATTTCTGTGGCAGAACAAAGGTGAAGGGCACTAAAATGACTTTTTAAGGAGTCTCCATTTGAAGCTGTAAACATCCCAACTTTCCCACCGCTTTGTGACCCATCTGCTGCACTTTGCTCGGTTCCACGCTATGCCTGGGCATCCCTCTGAGGGTTTGAGGGGAAAGCTGATGAATGGGAGAGCCGAGGAGGTAGCTGAATTAGCTTCACTTTAACCATGTCTTCCCTGCAACTAAGAGCCACTCAGGAAATTGAACAAGTAGGATAATGGCTGTATTATGGGCTTCAAAAACTATCACCTGTTCTAAAGACAAAATATGCAATACTTTCAACACTTGCTCTTGTCAAGGGCGGATGCCTTTCCCCTCCTCTCCCTCTCTGCTTTGCTTTGCTCTTTCCTGTCTGTGAAACTGCTTTAGAGACTCTCTCCTACAAATTTTCCAAATCATAATTCTGCTATGGATTTGATCAGTTGGTCCCTCAACGCAATTGATAACATTTCTTCAAAGAGGAGACAGGCTTTAGGTGAGCCGATTTGCCCTGTTGACACATGCAGCTGGATATCTCATCGACTTGGAAGACTTGATGAAGTGTCTATCTCTTCTGTCAATCCTAGATATTAAGGACACATATATAATTGGATTTATGATAACTGGTTTCCTACTTTTTGGATTAGGCTGGTTCCTGGTCTATCAACAAACAAGGAAGTCGCCAGCAGCAAATTTGGCCCTGGTCAGGCTGCCTGCCTTATGAGATGGCTTGGTTCGTGCCTGAAGCACCCAGACTCAATTGCTTTTGGCAGGATGGATCAGCTCTCGGGGAATACTCTCAGGCACGGTCCAGTGGTGTGGCCATTTAATATTGACATTTTAGAACCAAGAGGACCGACATAGACTCAAGGTAGACATAATCAGTTAAGTTCTGCCTGTCCCCAAAACAACCATGTTTATCTATATTCTGCTCCCTGACTGGCCATGACAGGACACCTTATCTTAATTCACCTGGAAGTTCTGTAAACCTTGCTGCTCTACCCTTCCCTCCTTCCACCGAGGAAGTCTATGGACCAATCAGACGGACCCGGCTGAATAAACATTCTTTCATCATTTCAGGAATCTTTGGATTCAATCTGACGTCGTCCTCGGCACCCCCCGAGAGTGTACGGATGTCTCCAGAGGGAACTATGTGAACAGAGCGATTTACCACTCTTATCGGAACTCTTGCAGTGCCTTTGTGTGTTGTCTTTGGACATGCTCACCGCCATTGCACACCCCCCCCCCTCACCCCACAGAATGTTGGCGTCGTTATGCGCTTGCGTGCGAGTTTTATTTTCATTTTCATGCTTTTAATCTTCAGCCAAAGATTAAGAGCATGTTAGGAGTTTTTTTTGCCTCCCAAACCTATGTTGTCACTTTTACCACTTTATTGTCTGTCCAAACAGGTCTCACTTGTAAATGAGTCTTCGAGGCTCATTGTGACTTATCTGTTTAAATCAAGGTTGAATTAATTAATGCACATGGACTTACTGTTGCAGAATTGTTGTAACTTTTTCAGCACAATAAATTTGTGTTATTAGAGAATAAAAGATGTGTAAAACTGTACCTGACTTCCTTTTAGACCTGGTAAACCCTGAGGTGTAAAAAAAAAAAAAAAACAGTAAACAAATGAAAATTGTAAAATAAAATTCAATTACGTAATACATGTTTTATATATCTGACAATAATGTTTCTTACCGGTTTGCCATCCAAGCCAAGTGGACCCTGTTGGGTGCAGAAAATGGACATATTAAAGAAAAGTACAGAGCCCAGATCCACAGGAGAATTTTCAAAACTTTGCAACATTACCAAGAAATCATCCAAATTGCCAGAACTGTTTTTTTAAGTATTTGTAAACTATGTGACTTTAACATTTCTCATCAGAAGAGTCATTCTGACCACAACAAAAAAAGGTTGCATTGTTAAAAAAACAGGCAAGACAGAAAATATGTTTTTTTTAACCACAATTGTTTCTGAACTGAGTAGTTTTGATGCCAAAATCTAAACAATGACCTAAAACAAATATAAAAACAAAATAAATTAAAAACACCTGGACACTGTGAGACCAACAACATTTCAAAAAGTCCCACTTTCAATCTCTCCAGGCTAAAGTGTTGCACACAGACCACTTAGCTGATTTGACAGGCAGTCATGCAAATGAAAGAAAAAGTAGCCATGTTTTTGATAAGCAGAAAAAAAAACCTTTATTTAGTCATTATTGGTTATTTACTTTCTGAAAATTAGGCTAAATCAAGGCTATGAGTTCACAAGTAGTATAAATATGAGTATGAAATCTGTACTAGTTAGTAAAATGTGTAACATTTTTTTCTTTCGGCTGCTCCCTTCCTCAGAGGTTGCCATAGCGAACTAACTCGCACGAAGATTTGGCAGTTTTATGCCGGATGCACTTCTTGACCACTGAGCTACCACAGCCCTCTGTGTGGAGCAGAGAGCTGCCATCTAGGGTGCCCCGGGGAGCAGATGGTGGGGGTTAAGAGCCTTGCTCAAGGGCAAATGAGGGTGGAGGCAGGTGTGGGTGTTTCACCTATCCCACCCACATTTGATGTTGTTGGTCCAGGGAGTTGAACCGGTGACTTTCAAGCTCACCCTCTCTAATCTCTGTGCCACCACTCCCCCTTAGTAAAAAAGCTTAACATAACACAACAAATTCTCCTATTAAACCAAAATGCATAATTTTTCACGAGTTTTTAATGGGGGGGGGGGGGGGGGTGTGTATTTTCACTGTTAGACAAATGCTAACTAGCTAAACAGCTGGTTAGCTGAACGTTTTAGCCTCAAAAATTTTAAAACTAAGTGGTCTATTGCTGAATTTTAACCAAATAAGAGCATATTAAAAATGACTGGACATTGTGTGAATAAAGCTAAATTAAAAGTCATTAAAATTCAGTATTCAGTTCTGTAAAATGGCTCAAAAGCTGGCTAGCATCTGTCTGATAGCTAGCTATTGATAACTGTTTAGCCAACTTAATGTCAAATTTTCTATCATAAATATTATTATCCAACAAGCAGCAAGAAAGTCAATTAGTGAAACTCTAAAAGTACAAATCTACTCCTATAATGACTGCCTTCAAAGACATCTAATGAGACGCATTAAGATGCCGAGGACATTATTTGCTTAAATCCTTAGACGAGACATGCCCTCTAGAAAATTTCTAAAGCCAGCTGATACTTATTAGTAGCCTATTTCCTAATGTTTGAGTTGTGTACTCGTATCTCTCATGCAACAATGTAAATTGTTTTTGTCTTACAAGAAACAATGAACAGATGATGAGACAACAAGAGAGAACAGTAAAAAAAGGCATAATAGAAGAAGAAACAGCTGAAAATGTTAGAAAGGAAGAAATAAAACATTTTTCCTTTAATTTTGGAAGAACAAAGTTTCTACCCTGACCCATTTTGTGTGAGTAAACAACTTTTAGTGTTTTAAAGTATAAATGATAGTAGATGAAGGTTTGTAGAATGAGAGAAATCCAACAGACTGTGTGCATCTGTGGAGATGAGAGGACCTAAAAGACACTTCAGACAGGCCTCGGTGGACCTCACCAAAGTGCTGAAGCAGCAGTTGGAGTCGTGCACTTTGTTTACCTCAATAAAACAAACAAAAAAACAACAACAGCCGAGCAGTCGTTGAACCGACTCTGGAAAGCTATTTTCAAAGACGGAGACCTTCGGATCTCCACTTAGACATGAAGGAACACTTAGCTCTGGAATCAAACTTTCCAAAAACACTTAAATGTGATGTATGTGGCGAAGGCTAATGTTGACTTCCTCCTTAACGACCGTACTCCACGTTAAGCTAACAGTTTTTCAGGGTCCCACGAGTTAGTGGGCTCCTCAACCCTCCGCAGCTCTCGTTAGCAGCCACCTCGCCTAGCTTTAAGTCTCCGAGCTTTCAGGACTTCGACTGATGGACAGCAGGTACAAATAAACGGAGATTAGATGCAGAAGATTTGTGTGCTCGTTTGATGGCGTGGCGTTAAATGCGACTGCATGTAAAGATCTGTATAAAGAAAGGGGAAAACCCCTTTCGAGGTTCCCCATCTCATTTGATTTAGACATCCTTGTAAAATCAGCAGTTAGTGGCTGAGACCAGAGTGGAACAAATGACTGGGATGGGTCCAGCGCTATAATTTCACAATAACTGTTCAGGGTTGAGAGGAGTTTGAACTCTAAGGAGGTGATGCTTCTTCTTTCCTTCACTGCATGCTACATTCAGCACAAAACTGTAGTTTTGTCACTGTATCAGAAGCAGCACGCTGTGTTTACCATGTCATAAATGTGGGGATTTAGATGAGTTTACAAATGTCCCACTGAGCTTCTCCTGCTATCAGGGTCCAGATCTTTGGATCTGTGCCTCTGTGAATATGAATCTATGACTCTTTGCATGCGCGTGTGTGTGTATGTGTGTGTGTAAGCGAGCCCTGCATCTGGGAGCATTTACCGAGGCCCGGCTCCTCCAGGCCTCGTCAAGATGAGTAGACGAGGTGAACATTGCGAGGTCATCTGCTGCTGCGGAGTCTGAACCCCGATGCAGAAAGAGACTGATTTATGGCTGCTAACAAGCGACACACTGGCCTGCAAACTCTTGCTGTGTGCACCTTTCCCATTGGAAGATGTGTGTGAAAGGTTTGTTCCAAAGTTATGAAACCAACTGACATCCTGCATAAAGATTTGGATTATAGGGTAGAAATTTACCATGTTTCCACAGTTTATGAAGAAATATTTCAACCAACAACAGACAGTCTTATATGGTTAATGATATCCAAGTTGAAACACCAGTTAGGAATAAACAAGCACGTTGTGTGTTAAAATAACGTAACTAGAGAAATTGTATTTCCTGCGAAAATGCAGTGTGAATGCTTATTGCGGAAGAACTTGCTGAGTGTTGAAATTAGCTCAGAAACACATTGAAATGTAGCTGAAATGGAAGAACAAGCCTAAACTAGCAGAATAAACCACAAAGAACACATACTTGCTGAAACAGGTTTAAATGAGCAGAAATTAACACAAAAATTAGGAAATTAGCTTAAAAAAACCCTGAATTTAGCAAAGATAAAAACTGCTGAAAAGTACCATAGCTGAAAGACAGAAGGAAGCTTAAACTACCAGAAGGAAGCTGAAAGAGCTGAAATGAGATTAAAAAAATATGGACTTAGGTGAAAAAGCTGGGATTAGCATGAATACAGCCAAAAACTAGCTAAACTAGCAGAAATAGCTGAAACTAGCATAATTAAGCTGAAAGGTGTACAACAAGCTGAAATTAGCATAAATAAGTTATTTAGGCTGAAAGAAGCTGAACAAGAGCAAACTGTGAAAGGAGTAGTAAAAGGCTGTAAACAGATCTAAAGATTTGAAGAATGTAAAATGAGCTCAGTTCATTTTCTATGAGAAAAAATGGCAGAAAAATTTATATATATATATATATATATATATATATATATATATATATAAATAAAACTAATGTTGCACCAGTACCAAAAGTCATAACAGGATTGTCCTGAAACAGCTGAACGTTTTAATATATGATTTGTTGAAATAGCTTGAAAACTGCGGGACGAGAAATGCGTTGAAAAAGTCGAAAAATGGATCATAATAGTGTGAGTGCTTCATAAACATTCACACAGTTAGAGGATTTAAGTTGTGTGAGCGTCAGTAAATTTAATTTTTGTATTCTTAACATACCTACAAAAAAAAACTTCTGTAAAGCACATTGAAAAAGATTAATTAAAAAAAAAAAAAAAAAGAGTACTGGGATGTTCTGAGAGTGTTTTTTTTTTAATTCACACCAAAAATGTAGTCGAGTGCTGAAAAAAGATGCAGAATAAAACAGATTTGTGTTCAGAAAAAGGGAGCAAATAGGCTCAAAATAAACACTGAAACCTCCAGTAAATGTGGATCAAAACAATATCCCTTTTATTGTGAATGACCAAAGTTTCCCAACTATTGTAAACATTTTAAACATATTAATGACAGCTTGGGCTGCAGGAGAGTTCATGTCTGTATTTGTGTGTTCGTCTGAATGTCGAGCAGATCTGAGGGCTGTTTTTACCGTCGTGCTCCCACTTTACACGGTGCAGACTGGTGATTATCCCGCAGTGTGTAATTGTTGAGGATGCAGTGCGAAAAGCTGTGTTTGCATCAACGTCTCGCCCAGAAACGCACATGGTAATGTGGGTCGCACAAATTAGCCTGTTAGCCTCATTATGGCTGTAAACTGAATGAAGATTAAGGAGGTGATCATGTCTTCTGTTTTCTTCTACCTATGTATGTCATCCTTCTTTCTTCCTCCTTTTTAAATATCATTCTGTCTCTTCTAGTTACATTCACAATGTGTGTGTGTGTGTGTGTGTGTGTGTGTGTGTGTGGGGGGGGGGGGGTCAAATCCTGTGGCATTTCTACATTTGTACAATTTGTGAAAGATGACCTTTCTTTAAATAAATAATTAAATCAATAAGAGATGGTGGCTGGAAGCAGAACCAAAGAGCAGAAGAAAGCTTACCAGAGCGCTGCGAGTGTTTGGGACAGAAAAGTACCGACATGTTTCTGGCTTTAATCTGCGCGCTGCAGCCTGGAAGGCTGAACAATGGAGGCCGCGCCTCGTTTCTGCTCACAGAGGTCGGCTGTCTGTCTCAGCACTGGCACTTCTGCATAAACACGCTTGTGGCTGGGTACACGCTGATGACCGTGCATATGAATGAGAGTCA